GGCAATAGCATGTTGGGAAACCCACGCGGATTTCACTGGTGGAAAATTTGAAGGATTTTCAAAGTTGAATAATTTTTTACTTTATTCTGTACACATGCAGTTAGGGGGGTGAAAAAGTAGAGGGCCATGCACGGGACCATTATTCCTAGAAAATATTTGGGGTCAGCCGAAAAGAAATAGAAAAAAAGATAACACGAATATTATCAAATCAAAAGAAATACTGAACTGCAGTCAGCACATGTAGATGAGGTAGATCTGCAGATGTTGGCCAAGTGGCTCAATAGTGATGTCATCGAAGGAAAGTTGAGAAAGCCATATAAACAACGAGAGCGAGTGTTTCACCGGGATATCCAAACACTCGAAAACAATGTATGAAAACACTCGCGCTTCGCGCTCGTGTTCTCATACATTGTTTTCTCGTGTTTGGATATCCCGGTGAAACACTCGCTCTCGTTGTTCATATATTACTTCCAATCTATGTACGGGAGTGCAACTACCTTGATACAATAAACCTGGACACAATTTCATCATTTTGCTTTTATAAATATTGTTTATTCTACGGAAATAGAGCACTCAATATGACACCTATGACGCATAACGCGTCTCTATAATATAATATAAAAATACTGTACATCAGTGCATATACTGGATGTACTTGAGCGTCTAACGACGACGACCTTTCAAAAATATACACCTCAATGATGAAATTGTGAAAAACCTACCGGGATTCTTGACCTGCTCCTGAAGGGTGCAACTAGCTTCAAAACCTCGTCCGTGACGTCTGTAGGAACTCCTACCTATAGATGTTAATATATATTCCAACAACGTCGATAAACCAACCACCTCATGTATACACTGCAAATGCCAAACTCAGATATCCAAGGATATAGTGCGAGCAGTGGTGTAACTTTACTTTTTTGACCACTTGCCCTCAGGGCACGAAAATTAGTTGCCCTGAATAAAATTCACTTGCCATCAGACAACGGCCACTGGGGTACATAGGTAGGACAGCATGTCGACCCGTTCTCTCACTGCTCTCTATATGGCTATGTTATACTGCCTCAGATCTAGCTTTGGGCCACAAAAAAATTTTGAATCAAGTACATGCACTATAAACAATTTATCCGACAATGAAAACATGAACTTAAAAATGCCCAGCATTTTGTGGCAAGCAAGATAAGAATTTTACTTGCCCGTCATGATATTCACTTGCCCCGGGCAAGCGGGCAAGACTCCGCAAGAGTTAAGTTACACCTCTGGTGCGAGGTTACTACACTATAATTTTATTTTTAGTTACATTATTTTAAAGATGTGCATATGGTACTGTCCATTCGCAAGTGTCAGCTTTGTTTACATTTGCATCCTATTCAAAAGTGTTGGGCTGCCCTGGAAGAATTACACAGCTATACAGTCATTATACTGTAAGTGGGCATCGAAAATTTAACCTGAAACTGAAAGATGAATTTTGACACCATACAGGGTGTATAAAAAAAGTAGACAATTTTGAATCGGCTCCCAATTTCACAAATCCGTTCATTTCATGAAATTTTTGATAGATTGTTTGGGTACTTATAATGCACAATAAACAAAAAAATTTCGTAAAGATAAATTTTCCAGAATAGCTTGCGCGCGAAATTTAAAAGTTTAAAACGCATTTTGACTTCATGGGCGAGAAATTTGTTATGTGTTTTATCAGTGGTCTAAATATCAGAGAATTTACTCAATTTTAAGTCCCTTAAATAGTCCATTTTTTGGCTGCACCATGCATTTACCGAATTTGCATATTGTTCATTTTCCTTTTTTACAATAACAGCCATAACATTGGTTCGTCTAGACCAATTTTGGTAGTCCTGTTGTTAAATTTCATCTCTTATAGATCACATTTTTTGATGATCACTATTAATAGCAAGCTGTACAAAAATCTGGGACATAACTATATAGGGCATTTTTTCGGACCACTTTGTATTTATTTTGCAATTTGCTGTATGCAGAGTAAGCGACAAAATGATAGTAGTACATCCACGGAAATTCGCACTAATACACTGCTGAACAAAGTTGGTAGTACAAATATTTAATGAACGCCCTGGACGTTTATTAGATCATTTACGGCATAGGTTGAATACTGGGTCGGGCTATTCTATAAGGCAGATCAACACATATGTATACTTACTAAAGGTGGGTATGTATCGCAAAGCGCGTACTTGTCGTTTATTTTCGATATCCTCCAACAGTCTGTTGGTAAACCCTAAGAACGCGCGTTAAATAAAACAAAAAATATTAGATTTAGACAAACGCCATGCACAATCCCATTGTCGTAGGTTTGTATACCTGTAGCACAATGAATTGAAATGAAATGAATAGAACTGGAACGCTACCTTCAAACCTAAAAGTAAAGTCTGCTAGTAAGTTTTACCCGAATAAAGGAATGTTTGAGCGCGAATGTTTGCCCTCATCAAATAAAGCTTATTATTATTATTATTATTATTATTATTTTGCATTGCGCACTTTTACTGCGCACATCGTATAACTTATAATTTCATCCATTATACGTACAGTTTACTGAAAAATCATTTTATGACAATTTTATGTTACTTCAAAACATCTTTGGTTACATTCGTGCAAAGAATTACGTTAAAATCAATGTTTTCAAAAAAGGCATACAAAAGTGTAGCTAGGGTTCCCTGTGTATGTAGTACATTTATTTACTTGTATTTCGCGTTTTAATGCCACAATTCCCTAAAAAGATCGGTGACCCCCTTTTTTTAACTGATAATTTATTTCTTTAATGCATTTTACATTTCATATCCGAAATTGAAAGAAAAATCATTTCTGGATCTTGAAAAAAAAATCCTTTATCAATGAATGTTCTCAAAGAAAAATATGTAAAGAAATGTGGAAAAGACATTTATGGATCAGAATTGTGCACGTTAGTAGTTTCATTTTGCTCAAAACACAATATTTTTTCAAAAATAATTACAAGATAGGTTTAATAAAGCAAAATCCGCGCTAAAAACGTCAATAAATATTGGGCTGTTGTGATTTTGCTGTTACTCGTAATGAGCGTCAAGATGGCGCCATATTGGGGTAAAGGTAGTATATTGTGATTGTCATATCTTCTTAACGAGTTTGGTGACCCCGACTTTCTTGTGTGATTTTACTTTAAGTATATCATAAACTCCATGCCTGGGAAGTTTCAGCACATTCTCATTTCGGGAACAATTACTGCGGAATTACCTTAATTACTCTCATGAGTGAAAGTTCCCAGATATGGCGTTTACAACATTTGATTTTATCTAGACAGTTATTTGACAGGGAAAAAAGATAAAAAGTTGAGCTCGTTTTAAACCAAACAATCCGCCCTATGATATATGGCCAACCGATGAAATTATACCGGTATTTATGAATAAACCATTTACCATACCCCACCCTACGTTAACGTTACCTGCTGAAGAACATTCAACTCCAGCATCCTTATGGTGGCCGCAATTATGGTTTCCCCAACCATCATGGGAACAACTGGTCAAATGTTGCTCAATCCCAGTGCAGCTGACGCTATCTAACCATATCTGCCCGGACCCATCAGGAACGTCGCCACCTCGAAGTGCTCTAACACCATATTTATATCCAAGTTGACGACATACCACTGTAGTGTCATTTATATCCCAGCTATCATCACAAATGGTTCCCCATTGTCCACTATGGAATATTTCCACACGACCACTACCGTTAGAACTTAACGGCCCTTGTAACCTGAGTGGAATGGCTGTAATCAAATGAAATGAGGAAAGAAGTGGTGCAAAGTGAGAACATAAAATACAATTATCGTGCATGGTAAATAAAATACAACTATCAGGTACAACTTTGATCTAGATATGAAACCAGATAAAATATCAAATGTGTCAAAATGAAGCCGGATCCCAAGATTCAACACTGTTACTTATGGTAAGCATGCACTCATTGAGATATATGGGTCCTCGTCTATGGCCATATTGCCTAAAAGTCTTGCGAAATTGAGTCGTTGAAAGCTTTCAAAAGTCAAATACGGAACATGGATATAGACAATAAATTAATGGATGGGAAATGCGTACACTGTTTCCTAAGCAATTCATAGTTCATACATTATACTATTGAAAGTTTATAGTTCATGTACTAATACTTATCCATAATTACTTATTATCTTGGTTTCTATATATATATATATATATATATATATATATATATATATATATATATATATATATATATATATATATATATATATATATATATATATATAT